CTTAATTTCTTGGCTCTGCCACTGCCTGTGGGGAACCATCATAGATCCCATTTCGATAATACAAACCGTTTAATGTATAGAACTCGTCGAGTACATTATGTGTGTAAAAAATCACGTTGATCGGATATCGATAGCTATGTGATCAAATCAGTTTTGTATGAAAAAAATGAACAGTGAAAAATAAACGGCTGACAAAAATCTGATTTGATCACATAGCTATCAATATCCAATAAATATGATTTTTTATAAGTATATAGTACTCGACGAGTTCTACACATAGGACTGTTCGAATTATTGAAACGGGACTCGTGGTGGGCCCCCATAGGCCCAATAGTATTCTCTAATCCGATGAAGGACGGGAGGGAAGCCACACAAATTTGGACTTTTGATTTTATAATTTTTAATGATGTAATCTTTTTCATATGAAATAACCTATTTAACCCTTACTAGTTTTTTTCTAGCAATAAACCCTTGTTAATTATATCCAAATAACAATATATAGATGAACACTGCATAGTTTTCAAACAAGAGAGAGGCCTGTGTCTTTAATTTCAAAATCTCATGGGGACCCAAGTGCAATTTCCTCTAAAAGGACCATTATCGTAGCATTGAATTTTTGAATTCAGAAATTCATGTTAAATTTTTATTTGGTTGACTATAATTCTATGGACCTTTGGGTCGTTTGGCATTGATTTTTTTAGTTAGCTTTTGATTTTTTGATTTTTTTAGCCTGAAATTTTTTTATTTATTTGGTTATTTTGTTTGGCTTTTTTTGATTTTTTGGCTTTGAAATGGCAATTTTTTTTTTTTTTATATTTTTGTGATTTTTGACTTATTTATTTATTTATTTATTTTTTTATCTTTTTGCGATTTTTTAACCTAAGAGAAAAACCAAATCGGGGCTTAAGCTAAGACGGGTAAGCCGCCAATAACCGAAAAACAGAAGGGATAATTTTATATAAATAGTAAATTAAATCAGAAAAGTAGTTACAATTTGATTTTGATTTTTTTTTTTGAACGCGTAGTTACAATTTGATTGAAGAAATATTAAGTGTACAATTCTCACTTCCATCCTGTAAATTTATAATTAGTTTTTAATAAAATTATACGCACCAATTGATATATTAATTAATATATTAACCGATAATGTAATATAATTTTAAAGACTTTGGATCTTTATAGTTTGTGTTGTAGGGGAATAATTGGTGAGATCCATAGTTTTGAATTGATAATGACATAACATATGTTAGGATACTAATTGATATATCAATTGATACGTGTAATGTCACTGTTAATTTTCTCATGTCATGTATCTAAATTCTCTCAAAGCATAGGATAATTAATCTAAAGAAATTGTATAAAGCACCACATAATTTTCTTCTAAGAGTAGACCACTAGCAAAAATTGGAATATTATTTTAAAAATTAATCTATGGCTATGAAGTGAGATTAACAATTTAGATTACACATTATTTTTATAAATATTTTTTAAATAAATCTTTTGAATCACGCACATTGTTATTTTGTAATTAGTGTCAAAATAATTTTACCAAATGCTACAGAAAAGGGCACAAAAAAAAAAAACAAAACGCAACATTATACATAGTGGTAGTTTAAAAAGTTGACTTTTTAGCAAAAAGCTGGGTTGTTTTGAGTAAAAAAACCGATTTTTTTTGCTAAAAAAACTAAAAAGTTGGCTTTTTATCATACTCTAATTTCTTAATCCATTTTCACAATCGAAACAAAAGACAATAAAATTCACAATATAAATACATATAAAATTCATTCACTTTTATAAAAATTAAATTATATGTAATATTTTGGAAATAGAATAAAATATCCATAAAATGGACGAACCCATTGAAACTGACCCAAAACCCAACCGAAAGTGATGGCTCAAATTACGTAGAGAGTGTTTGCAGAACCAAATTACGTATCATCTACGCAGATGTTACACGTTGTTCCCAAAATTACATTAATGTATACGAACATGTTACTCGTGCAATGGACATGTATAAATAAGTAATTAAAAATTAATGAATACGAACATGTTACTCGTGCAATGGACATGTATAAATAAGTAATTAAAAATTAATTTATTTTTATTAAAGTTATATATTTTTATTCTGATATTATTAATTGTGTATTTTATTTAAGTTGTTAATAAAAAATTACATGTCATAATTTAAATAGTAAAAATTAAAGAATAAATTACAAAAATTATATTTACGATAAAATATAAATACATTTCATGTTATAAGCTTCGTAATTGTAATTTACCACATGATAGTAGTAAATTACATTTATTAATACACTAATTTTTTTCTTATTTTGTAAAGTTTAAAAATTTGTTTCCTCAAAATTGTAAATTGTAATATGTCATAACTCTTACATGAAAATGGATTAGAATTGACTTGTAGTGTTAAACTAAATATTTATGCTAATGTGACGTTTACTTAATCATTAAAAATTATTCTTATTGGTTCGTGACCAGTACAAGCTAGTTTGGGGGTTCCAGTATTGGATTGAATATTAAAAATTAGCTTAGAAAATTTAATTCGAGTCAAATTTTTTTTTTCTTTCCAATAATTCTTGGTTTAAGTATGATACATCATATTTTAATAACTCAATATCATAAAAATAATAAAAAAAGTAATCTTAATATTTACGATACTTTTTATCAATCAATAATTTTTTTTATAAATATTAAGATAATTACATTTGAAGAAATTCTAATATAAAATTTTTACTTTAAGACTTACACATTTCTTTGACTCTGTAATTAATTTGTGAGAGAGCAAATAAAATACATTTCAATCATTATTATATGAAAATATATGTGTGATAAGAATTGTACTACACAATTTTAAAAAGTAATTTTAATTTAAAATTTTCAGTATGGAAAATATGTATCCAATTTTATGTTATGTTTAATTCATAGATTTGGATAGAAATTTGAAATGAGAAAGGAAAAAGAAAAAAAAGAAAAGAAATGTGAATGAAATATATAATTATATTTTGTCTAATTTTCACACACCTTTTCATTTTTTCTTTAAAAAAATTTACCCAAAACCATGAACCAAACACATCATCAAGTTTGAAAGGAGTTTTGGATCTATTATTATATTGATATCCACTATCTAAAAAAAAACCTATGTAATAGTGGGAGAAACAAGTAGTTAAAATCAATCATCAATCACATTATAAAAGAATAAAAGTTAGTTAATAATTTTTTTAAAAAAATATTTGAAAAATTAAACATCAAGAAAAATAAATTATGGAAGATGTGAATTAATTCCCATATTTTAATAGTACAAAAATCTAAATTTTAAACTGATGCTTTCCAAATTTTTAAATGGAGTAATTAACTTTATTTTTTAAGCATGTAAATTAAGGCATAATGAGATTTTTTTCTTTTTAAATTTTAAAATTGATTAGTTAACTTTCCTTTTCAAATTTCTAAATTTAAATTTATAAAAGAATTAAATAACTTTCCTTTTGAAATGTGTAAATTAAGATATAATAAGATTTTTTTTTTAAATGATTCAATAAAAAATGTAAGATTTTTTTTTTTTAAATTTTAAAACTGATTAGTTAACTTTCTTTTTCAATTTTTTAAATTTAAATTTATAAATAAATTAATTATCTTTCATTTTAAAATGTGTAAATTAAGACATAATAAGATTTTTTTTTTAATGATTCACTAAAAGCTAAAAGATTTTTTTTTTTAAATTTAAAACTGATTAGTTAACTTTCATTTTTAAATTTATAAATGGGTGTAAATCAAGACATAATAAGATTTTTTTTTATAAAAAATTTAAAATTGATTAATTAACTTTTCTTTTTTAAATTTATAAATAGGTGTAAATCAAGACGTAATAAGATTTTTTTTTAAATTTTAAAATTGATTAATTAGCTTTTCTTTTTAAAATTTAAAATTTAAATTTATAAATGGATTAATTAACTCTTTTTTTTAAATGTATAAATCAAGACATAATAAGATTTTTAAAAAATAATTCAAAAAAAGTTAGCCAATATGAAGTTTTTTGAGAGTTTTGAGTTTTACAAGGCTCCTCTGATTGGAAATCTGATTTTTCTTAATATATAATATAGATAAATGAGGAATACTATGGTACATATTCTTAGAAAAATGTGTATCATATGCAATTATAACATTTATAGAATTGAATACCACAAATGTTATTTAGGGAGTTTAGTACGGCAAATGTCATAATTCAATTCTAAGGCTATGATTGATTGAATGATTTGATGAGAGAAATGCAAAGAGGAAAAGAAATAGAAATAAAAAGAAAAGGACAAACAATTCTAACGTATTTTTTTATTTGAGTCACAGTTATTTTATTTGGGCTACGTCACTTTAAACTTAATCTATATTTTATGTTTTTTTTTTTTATAAAAAGTCAAAAAGTATGTTAATTTTGCACTTCCCAAACAACCCCTAAGAAATCAAAAAGATAAAAAGTGAGATTGAATCCATTTTCTTTGGGTTTTCTATTATAAACCAAAACAAGGTAAGATTGCATTTTTTTTTTTTTTCTTTCTTCTTTTTTATTTCTCTTATCAAATACAACCTAAGGAAATAATAATCAAACCCCACATAAAGGATAACAATTTTTTTTAAAAAAAATTATAACTACAATAATATCATATTTAATACTATTATAAATCATAACTAAGTCATAGTTCAAAATCAAAGAGTAGCATTGCATAGAATTTTTAGATTTATATTTGTCGTTTGGTAAAAAAATATATATATATAATTAGCCTTTTAGAGTTGACTCTTTTTAGTTTGAAATTAAAAAGTTCGGTTGGTGAATTTTTTTTAACTTTTTAATATTTATAAAAAAATTATAATTTAAATATAATATTTATTTAACTTATTTTATTTTTCGTATTATTTTAGTTTAAAAAATATTAAAAATCTCAAAAATTTTATAAAATATCAAACCCCACACTCACATGTGAGACCCACCTCCAAACGAAGGTATTGTTCCCCACCTGTAATCATTCATTTGTATTATACCAAAATCCCAATTCAATTCAAACGTAATCGATACAGATTCACAGGGAATAATAATAATATACTTCCCCTCCTCTTCGAGAGATATAGATACATAATATATCTATTTTCTGTACTCACAATCACTTCATCGGATCTTTACCAGGTAAGTTTATCCACATCCACTCAAGATCTACCCTATTTTTTATTTCAATTTCTAGTTTCGGCCACGATCGTTGTTTGTTACTCTGTTTGTTTCGCGAGAAAATGCAGGAAAATTAGATTGTCGGTGCTCTGGGACATGAACGGACTCGCTGTTTTCCCAATTCACAGTAAATTGAGCCCCAATTAGAACAACATCAAATTACATGAATTACAGTTCCATTTTCACTTGTCTTACCTCTGATTTTTCCATTTTTAGTGATTATTAGTACGAATTTTGTTCTGTTTTTAGGAATAATGTTATGTTTCGTTCATTGGAATGAGCTGGAATGGAATCCACCTTCATTCACTACCTAACTCTTGTCAGACATTGTGTATTTATGTGAATGCATGTGTGAGAAAATGTGCATCTTTCTTTAAATGGAAACCCTTTGTTAGGCTAGTTAAATTGGACTAGAGTGATGCCATTTTTTTGTTTCAATAAATTATGAAATCTTTTTGTTACTCAATGATGCATGATTGTAATTTTGATTTAATTTCATGAACATACATGAATGGTGAAATGGGATGTAGAGAACCAGATGATTTTTCAGAAAGTATTTGCCCCGAGTAGATTATAAAAGGGTATGCGTTTCCTCATCAAAATCTATCATTTTTCTAACTAAGATACCTATGAATAACCTGCTCTGGGTTGCTCTGAACACCTGAATATTGGTATCTGAACTTTTTGGTGCAAGAGTTCTGCAATGTTCTATCTACTTAGAGATTTTGCAATTCATTTATGCTAATTTTGTTATTATTATATTTTTAATAAGATTTTGCATTGATGAATTGTAGCTGAAATGGGGTTAGTTGTGCAGCACTGGAGCTAAACAAGGTAATCAAAAGCCTGAAGAGTCTTGCTGCACCTCCTGCTATTGAGTGATAGAATAAACTTTTCATGGGGGCTTTTTGGAGCATGGCAGGCAAGGGTGCGACAAGCGAGTACAAGGAGGTTTCTTTGGGTGAAACCTGCAAAAGGCAGAGGACGTCAGAAATTTGTTCTGAGGAGAACTTAAGATTGATTCCCAGCCTTCCTGATGAGATATCAATCCAGATTTTTGCTAGAGTTCCAAGAGTTTGCTACTTCAGTATGAGGTTGGTGGCACGGAACTGGAAGGCAGTCGTTACGAACCCTGAATTGTTCCAATTGAGAAAAGAACTTGGCATGACAGAGGAGTGGCTATATTTGCTGACTAAGTTCGAGGATGACAGGCTTTTGTGGCATGGTCTTGACCCTTTGTCAAAAAAATGGCAACGGTTGCCACCAATACCAAATGTTGTTTACGAAGAAGAATCCAGGAAGGGTTTGTACGGACTTTGGAACATGGTCAGTAAAAGTAATAATCTCGCCGACATGATTAAGGGTTGGCTTGGTCACAAGCATTCATCAGAACAATTACCGTTTTGTGGTTGTGCTATTGGAATTGTTGATGGATGCCTCTATGTCCTAGGAGGTTTCTGCAAAGCTTCTGCCATGAGATGTGTTTGGCGATATGATCCAATTGTAAATGCGTGGAATGAAGTGACTCCCATGTCAACAGGTAGGGCATATTGTAAGACCAGCATTCTAAACAACAAACTTTATGTTGTCGGAGGAGTTAGTCGGGGCCATGGTGGACTGGCTCCCCTACAGTCTGCTGAAGTTTTTGACCCTTGTACAGATACATGGTCCTTAGTACCAAGCATGCCATTCTCAAAAGCTCAGGTTTTACCAGCTGCTTTTTTAGCTGACATGCTAAAGCCTATTGCCACGGGGATGACATCATACCGGGGAAGATTATATGTGCCTCAGAGTTTATATTCTTGGCCCTTCTTTGTTGATGTTGGAGGAGAGACTTATGATCCTGAAACAAATTCTTGGGATGAAATGCCAATTGGGATGGGAGAAGGTTGGCCTGCAAGGCAGGCGGGTACCAAATTGAGTGTAGTAGTAGATGGGGAATTATATGCATTAGATCCTTCTAGTTCTCTCAATAGTGGAAAGATAAAGGTATATGATGAGAAAGAGGATTCTTGGAAAGTTGTCATCGAAAAAGTTCCTATCTGTGATTTTTCGGAGTCAGAATCTCCATATTTACTAGCTGGTTTTCATGGAAAGCTTCATGTCATCACAAAAGATGCCAATCGTAACGTTGTAGTTCTACAGGCCGACGTGTGCAATAATACGGAATCTTTCTCAACCTCCTCCTCATCTTTTCTAGCTAGCTCCTCAGATGAACATCTGGAATCAATGACAGAATCAGAAACAGTTGTTTGGAAGGTTATTACGACAACAAATTTTGGGTCTGCTGAACTAGTGAGTTGTCAAGTTCTTGACATTTAGCATTGAATTAATTGAGATGGCCCAGTGCCCTATATTAAACATAAGTGTGTGTATCCAAGAAAGACCGCTAATAGTTTCATAGTCTTGATTGCCAGCAGATCATACTAGCATTTGATGACGTATTTTCTTTCTTTAGAAGCGGATTCATGACCTTTGGAATTCCTCAGGAGACAGTGATCTGCTTCTTCACAGATTACTGTTGGTATCCATTGAATAGCATTTGATGATGTATTTTATTCCTTTTAAAAGGGGAAAATTTTAGAAATCTGGAATTCCTCATGAGACTGTGATCTGCTTCTTTGCAGATTACTGTTTTTTTTTTAATTGAGTAACATTGGTAAGTTTCTCTCATGTTATTTGCCTTGCCATATTACCATCTACAAATGTGTTGTCCTTTGCATCCTGTTGATATATAAATATGAGAAGTTGTACAGTCAGCAGTTTGAAATAAGAAATGTTTACTTTGGTAATCATGATTGGTGATCTGTCAAATTGATCATATATATTATTTTTCCATTATTTTGGTGATATGTCTTATTGGTACAAACTACCAACGATAGAAAAGGAGAAATTTTGGTACCGTCTTATTTAGTCTTTTGTTGTGTTATTCTGTTCCGCGTATATGATTGTTGTTTCATTCTTGGAGAAATATTATGATGTGTATGTTGGTAACATCTTTATAAGAGGTTCTGTGATGTTTCGTGAACTGTTCGAAATTTGTGCATTGTTAAGCCTGTAATGTATTTGGAAACAATGACTTTTGCTAAGAAACAAAGAGAGTAAAACTAAAGGAGGTTTGTGCGTGTTGGCAGAATGTAATGAGCAGCATTCTGGATATAAACTCTGATGCAGTTTTTTGGTTTATTGATCCAAAGTGCAAAAGATTAGTAGTTTTCTCAAAGATGGAGAACCATTTGAGGGATACTGTGAACAGGCGTTGTCTCTTTTAAACAGTAGCTACTAGCTAGCGTATGATAATCTTTAAAATGGACCCTTCATTCATGGGGGGTTCATAAACCATTTCATATCATAAAGTTTTGTGGTTTTGATCTGGTACTAATGTCTGACTCTTAAGCCTCATAATATATGGAAATTAGAGGCTGTTTTTTATGTAACCACTTTATGTAGTTTGAGGCAGACTTCAGACGCTGGAATATATCACAGGTATCGACTAAGCCCATAATATTTCAACGAGAATCGAATCCAAGATGTCCAATATCATGACTCACATCCTTAAACCACTAAGCTACCTCTGTGCAGGTTAGAAACATTGTTACTAATTGACTTCTGCTCTTTTTACTGATTGTCATCTTCTTGAAAATAAACTTTACCTTAATGTATGGTTTACTATTTTCTATATGTTTCTCTAACATATATTCTATCGTTTACCTAAATTTTCATTATCGAGATACCTAAAATATGGAAGGTTACAGCTGACATCTACTGGTGGTAATATTGGGTTTCCCACTTCCAGGAACCTGTTTAAGTTGTACTGGCGTAAATTTATTGGTAGAAAATAATATTTTTTTTAATGAAAGTAACACTAGATCCTATATTTATTTAAGAATACCAAGTCAGGTTCGTCTCCTGATATTGACCCTAAAAAAGGAATGATAGGTACAACCAATCCATGAACTGCCAACGATTGCATTGTAACAGTTGGACAGGTTCGATCTATGGTCATTGTGACCTCCAAGTTACATCTTTTGTTAAGTGGGGCATCTCAACCTTGTCGGCAAAATTTATTCACAACAACATGATCAAAAAAATTGTAAACTATGTGTGTTTGCATGATATATCTTTTGTTCAGTTGTTAGGTTGATTGGTATGGTAGAAGTTGTACACTACTTATGAAAGACAGCTAGATTTCATTTTTTGTCATTTTCCAACTATGTGCCAGTTGTTTACTTATACTTCTGATGTTAGTTTCCTCGATTCAAATACTATAATTTGTTCTCTCTAATCAAGTACTTGGCTGTCGAGCATTATCTGTTGCTGATTTTCATGTTGAGTGTTTTATTGGGTTTTACTGGTTGTGCTGTGCTAGTAGTGATTGCAACAGTGACAGTTGTTGATTTATGATTTTGATCAAGTCAACTCAGAAGAAAATGGTTCTCTTCTGTTATCAAATCACCTGAAGTGAAGAAAGTTCCTCCTAAACCATATCAGATAGCATTGCAATTTTGACTTTGTGGCCTTTGTTTCCTTTTTCCTTTGCCCAGTTTTCACTTGCACCAGAAAAATATTTTACTTGCTCTCCATTAATTTGTAATTGATTTTTCTGTTTTCGATTTACCTGATATTTCCATTTGGTAGAGATCAGTTTATGTTGAAAGGGCTGCTGAGTACAACAGCTGACCCCTTACATCTGGTGGCATGTTGCTGAAGGGGTGGTTGAAATATAAAATGAGGAGGATTAGATTCAGATATTATATTTGTATTGTGTTTGGTATGCAATTAAGTGCTAAGCTTTCCTCTGTTCTTTCTTTAAACTACCATTGAGAATATGCTCATTTTTCTTTCAATTCCTAGATGATGAAGAACAAGAAACCAGCTAAGCTCCCAATGAGGCTACTAGGCACTGTTTTTTTCTTTTTCTTTTTCTTTTTCTTTTTTCTCTATGCAAAAACCTATGACCTTTGAGAATCTGTATCAGATTCTCTCAAATTTAGACCTGCCATAGATGATTGTTACAGCAAGCATATAATGATTGTGTCATTATTCCACTGAACAAATTTTAGTGGTGGGCCTCATTAAGGGGCTGCTAGCAATGGTAAACATTTACTGATTGTGACATGCCCATGTATCTGTGTTTGTTAATAATGCTTTTATTGGGGAAGTGATGTTCTTCATAGTTGTGTTACTGGTCTGTATAGAAAAATCCCTTATTGATCATTGTGCTCAAAATTACTCAAACTTGGAATTTTCATATGTATTTGAAGGTATATAAGTAGGCATTAGAAGAGTTCAATTTGGAAGCAATCCTAAAGAGGGCAAAGTGCAATTTATCTAGATTTATCTAATAACTGTATTAATGGGTTTTTTATCCAAACTCGGATAGATGTTAGTTGTTGCTGTAAAGTGAGAAAATTAGAAAGATTAAGAAAGACAAAATACTTAAACTTAAGAAGGACCGAGTGTAACTTACTCTTATAAATATTATATGTTGACATAAACATTACTATATGCATACAACAAAATGTTTAAGAGTACATTTTAAACTCATCGTAATAATCTAAACAAAATTGTGCTTGAAATAGGGTCTAATCTACACTCCAACTATAAAACAGTGGTGGAAAACTTACTTCTTACGTATCATTATATTTAACAATAAGCACTTGAGAATTGTTAGCCGGCCTAGAGTAGTAGACTTCTTCAATTCTATGCTGCACATATGCATGAGATAGTTGTTTTTTTATTTTTTATTATTCTTATGATTCTCTATAATTGCGACATCAAATATTTAAAATTTTCTTTCGATCATTTTTTAATTTAAATTTAAATTTATTAATGTGAATCTTTCAGAAATCATTAATTATAAAGTAGAAATATTTGTTTTATTAGTGAAATAGAGATAATCTAGAATTCCTTATTACTAGTAGTATATTGTTATTGTCATCAGTGGTTGGCTTTCCATGACTATTATTGTGACATTGAAACATAGACTTTCGCCGGCAATCCAAACAACTCCTAATCTAATCTACACTCCAACTATAAAACAGTGGTGGAAAACTTACTTCTTACGTATCATTATATTTAACAATAAGCACTTGAGAATTGTTAGCCGGCCTAGAGTAGTAGACTTCTTCAATTCTATGCTGCACATATGCATGAGATAGTTGTTTTTTTATTTTTTATTATTCTTATGATTCTCTATAATTGCGACATCAAATATTTTAAATTTTCTTTCGATCATTTTTTAATTTAAATTAAAATTTATTAATGTGAATCTTTCACAAATCATTAATTATAAAGTAGAAATATTTGTTTTATTAGTGAAATAGAGATAGTCTAGAATTCCTTATTACTAGTAGTATATTGTTATTGTCATCAGTGGTTGGCTTTCCATGACTATGATTGGGACATTGAAACATAGACTTTCGCCGGCAATCCAAACTACTCCTAAAGAAAGAGTCAATATTAGTTTATACACAAAATTTAAAGAACTAGTACATTCTTTACAATATATAATTTTATAAATAATAAAAAAAATGTATTATTATTTCAAACTTGCTAACAAATAACCTTAAGACACTTGACATCAAAAGGGATTAGATGTCTCATTAATGAAGTTCTAGGGCTGAGAATCAATGTTCATTTTTTCTTTTCTTTTCTTTTCTTTTCTTTTTTATATATAAAATAAATACTTTAAATAGCTTGGCAATGTGTGACATGGAATTCAAATGAAAGAACCATGTTTCCTTCATTGGAGAGAGAAGGAATGAACCACCTTCAAAGTCATTAATTAAGAATCAAAAGGAAAATCATATTCTCTCCATTTTTATGTGTGGGTGATCCTCCAATTGCACAAAGTAGTTCATGGAATATAAGCAAAGTTGCCTAATGTCACAATCAAACAACCAATTAGTCAAAAACAAGTAATATACTTTTATAATCTTATGCAACAGCTAGCTCAAAATTGATGCTTGTTAAAGGGTTAAACAATTTAACCCAACATGTTCAAACCAAAATAAAAAATAAAAAATAAATGAAGTTATTTGACAGATATTTATTCATTTTCTCTTTCTGATATTCAAATATATTAATTCTTGGTAAAGTAGACTTTCATGATTTAGCTAAAAATTCTCCATTTTGTTCGGTATAAAAGAGAAAATAAAAGGGAAATTTGAAAATAAAATAAAAAATCATTTATGTTTAGCAAGATACAAAGAACAAGCAACAAGCAATTAAAAATTGATAATATAAAAGTGTTTTTGAGTGTTATTCAAGGAGGCTTCTAGTACAATTAAAACTTGAAAACAAAGGACTCCTTATTCATGTTTAATAGGGTAAAATATTGTAACTGCCATGTAAACCACCAAGCAATTGAAATTTAAAAATATGAAATTGGAAAGTCTTCAAATTAGATATCTAACACAAATAGTAAGGACAAAGTAAATTTTTTTTCTTGGACAATATTATTCATATATATATTTTACAGAACTCTTTTGACGGGGAATATTTTTATTTTATTTTATATGAGTTTAAAAATATTGTGTATTGTATTTTTGGTTAGTTCATTTAATATATATTCTATTTTTTGCAACAATAAAATATTACTATGAACTAGAATAACATGTTACTGTCAAACATACTGCATATTACTGTTTACATTAATTTTAATATTTTTTAATTTTTATTTTTTAAGAATTTCATAGTCAATATAAATCTTGTTTGATAGATCTTAATAAGAGGAAACTTAAAAAATTAATTTTATTAAAAAATGACATCTATATCAAAAGCTAAATTATTTTAAAGTTTAAAATATTAAATTACTCACTAAGCATATTTTGGTAATAGTAATATATGTTGGACTTTTTAAATTTTTTTTTTTATGTTTGTCTTTAATGTATTAAAATTTTATTATGAAAAAACTTTGATCAAATCCCTAACGTTGAAGTGAGTTGTTGATCCAACAACCAAATGGTCCATTCTCAGTCTTTCTCTCTCCGTCTCTCTCTCTCTCTCTCTCTCTCTCTCTCAATTTATGTATTTATAAAAATTATTAGGATTTGATTAATAATGTAAATTTAAGAATTAATTACACGTTCCACATTTATAGTTTGGTCTAAATTTATTTTAGTCTCTATAATTTTAATTGAACAATATAATCTCTGCACTTTAAGTGAAATTTGAATTAATTATAAGAATGAAAAATATGCAAGGTGCATGCTATATACATTTGCCTAAATTCTCACAAATATATATAAGTTATCTTACAAAATCACATAAGTTCTCAGAAATATATGTAAATTGTGATTTTTAAAATTTTTATGGGTTAACGTATATATATTTGTGAAAATTTAAGCATTTTTATGAAGCTATTTATATATATTTATGAAAACTTATACAATTACACACTTAAAAATTACACTATAAAAATAAATATAATTTACATATTTTAATTTTTGGTAAAGATATGTAACATTTAAGTTGCTTACAAATGCCTCGTTTGATGTAACTGTTAAAACAGATTATAAATTATAACTTAACAGGTTATAGATTATGACTTTAATCAGAAGTTGTTAATTTGTTTAGTATAGCCGTTGGATTATAGATATTATAGATTTAAGTTACTGAGTAGTGTTTGTTAAATAAGCTGTGAAATAGTTTTTCCAATTAACTTTTATTTTTTGTTGTTCAATACTTATCTATATTTCTCATAAAATAATAATAATAATAATAATCTATAGTCCATTTGGGTCCTTTTTTCATTTTTTAAAAAATAAAAAATAAAAAACAAAAAAATCTAAGAGTATTAACCATAAATTAACATGTTCACAGCAGAAACTGATAATCAGAAGTAAGTGGTAAGCAGCTGCTCAGAATCAGTTTTTTAGAGTTAAAATAAGTTGTTAAAATCAGAAACTGTTTGAAATAAGTTTAATCAAACAATCCAAAATAACTTTTCTAAAACTAGAAATTATAAGTTTTTTTTTTTTGGTTACAGGAAAATCCTTCCTACCCTCCCGCAGGTCCAAGGTAGCGCCCCTTGCAAAGATCACCGGGTGTCCTGTTAGTCGTTCCGAGCGAGGAGACTATAACCTGGGAATTTGCCCCGACCTCCCAAGACAAGTTCCGCTTAAGTCAGGACTCGCACAGCGGGGAGCATTGAACCCACACAAAGTGCTGATTAGACAACTTAAGATCCAACCTCCTAACCAACTATGCTTCGCTCAAAAGACCAAAAAAGAAAAAACAAAAAAAATTGAATCGGTGACGTTAGAGCTTCAATCTCAAACTTCAACTACAATGCCACCCACCTGCGTTAGAAAAAGCCTAAACAAATACTCCCGAAGTTGATGTGATTGTGTCATCAACTCCAACTTGCACACATAGTGATATGGTGGGTAGGAAGAAACAATAAAAATAATAATAATTATTATTACTATATATAAGTTAACCAATAATGTAAGAAAACGTGACATCCATTCCATACTAGGTCTTTCTATTCAGTGTCCATTAGCCAATTTCCTAAAATAAATAAATAAATGAATTTAAAAATAAATAAATAAATAAATAACAACTAACTTGCAGTGGGTGGCAAGACCAAAAACAAAAAAAACAAAAAAAATTGAATCGGTGACGTTAGAGCTTAAATCTCAAACTTCAACTACAATGCCACCCACCTGCGTTAGAAAAAGCCTAAACAAATACTCCCGAAGTTGATGTATTGTGTCATCAACTCCAACTTGCACACATAGTGATATGGTGGGTAGGAAGAAACAATAAAAATAATAATAATAATTATTATTATATAGAAGTGAACCAATAATGTAAGAAAACGTGACATCCATTCCATACTAGGTCTTTCTATTCAGTGTCCATTAGCCAATTTCCTAAAATAAATAAATAAATGAATTTAAAAATAAATAAATAAATAAATAACAACTAACTTGCAGTGGGTGGCCACCGTGGAACATGACAGTCTCTTACTTGTATATTTCTTCCTTTTTCTCATATATGCCCTCAAAACTTTCACATAATTATGTTCAAATTATTTTGTGTTTAATGTTACAAAATCTAACTAGAGAATGTATGCCCTATCTTAGCAAAAATGCTATATAAACCCTCATAATAACCATTTATATTTACTATTTGACACAATAAATCTCTTGAAAATACTGTTAGTATTTAATAATTGTATATACCACATCATATTATAAAATTTAATGATTATTACAACGGTATCAACATTACATTTTTGCAAGGTTAGCAATGTAATATAATAAGATGCTTGAGGTGGTCAATAGGATGCACTCAGTTATCACTTCTGAAAAGTTTGTGGGCATTGAAAAAATGTATGTTAACCCTTAAATATGATAATAATTAAAGGTATTCCCTGTTTGATAAGTCTATAATTTATGTCTTGTATCAATATATTAATCATATATGAAATAACATTCAAAATTTTATACTTCAATTTAATCAATATATGACATATTAAGGTGGTTTCATTTAGTTCATTGATCAAATTGATTTTTGTCATGAATAATCTATTTAAAGCATTTTCAAATGACTCTTTAAATGATACATGTTAGCTATTATAGTTAAGAATATCATATTTTAGTTACTCTAACAGACTAATTATTACAATAGTTATTTTAACAAAAAATTTCAAGACTAATTACATTTAAATAGTCTTGGAAGACTTTTTAAATAATTTATGTATATAAATAACTAAAATAAATAGTACCATTGGAATATATATATAATAAAATAAATTAGACAAAATAAAAAAAATATATTTTTTTATATTTTAACCAAAAATATAATTGTAGTTGATTTTATAAGTCATTATAACTGAACGATTTGAATTACAATTGTCAACCCGCAATATCATAAATTGGAGCATCTAGTGCAATTAGTGGACCAGAGTGGAACGGCTTCCAAATTATTGAATGTATGTATGAGTTTCGATTCAGACCACTAATACACCATCACTAAAAATAACATTAATTACGTGACAGTGTAAGAAAAAAAGAAAGAAAAAAAGTCAAACTATCACATCAGTGTGGGGTTCACATCTCGCCACGTTATTAGTGATCTGTTTAGTGATGTTAAGTGGTATGAAATATTTTTGATGTATGTATTTATGCCAAGGACAAAAAATGTTGAGGTCCTTGTGTTAATGTCTAAACTTATGAGGGTATTCTAGCAAAAAAAAAAAAAAAAGAAGGAAACTCATGACTCATGAGATGAGGGTATCATTGTAAGAGTGTCAACTTCCCAAATCATTAGATTTTTCAGTTAAGATTAGGTTAAAAAAAACTCACCTTGGAAGTTTTCTATCTAGGTAGTTTTCTTGTTTTTCTTTATTTCTACATTAAGCAATTGCAAAGAGATTTCTTTCTTTCTGCTGACAGATTCCCATATAGAATAGAACCCATCAACCATTTTCGACCCCCGCCACTTCCCAAATTCTTCTCTGACACTCTCTTAAAACTGATTTTTTTTTTTTTTTTTTTGAAGGGTATCCGAAATTGATTGCTCTTGGGTTCGAATCAAGAACTTGTATCAATCTTCTTGCGCAAAAAATCTGTTGAAATTACTGGTTTCCTTTGATGGATTTCTGGGTTTTTGTTTTTTCGATGTTTTGAGTGGCTTTTAGGTGTGATCTTCTGAGATTTGATCTGGGTTCTTGAAGATTTAGCCTAAAAGATTGATTTGTTATTTGATTGTGAAAGAGTTTCTGGTGATGATAGCAACATAAGGAGTTCATTTGGGATCTTTGTATAGTTTAGACCTGATCTGCGTTGATGATTATGAGAATTTTTTGAGGTGGGCTTTTGGTGGGAGGTTCTTGAATGGCTGGAGAGGATTTGATTGAGCTCAAATTCAGGCTTGCTGATGGGACTGACATCGGGCCGAGCAAGTATAACCCTAGTACCACTGTGGGATCTCTCAAAGAAAAGATAATTGCACAATGGCCTAAAGGTTGTAAATTCTTTTACCCTCGTAAGTTCTGAATTTTGAATTTTGATGTGATTAGAATATTTGATATTGCTATCTTCTGTGTTTGTTTTGTCTGGATAGTCATATGATTCATATAATAGTGTCTTGATATATAATTTACTATTTATGGACCTTTTTCTCTCATGTATATGCTTCCTTATCCTGTAGTCTACCTTGAAGGAATTGAGAGTTGTTCCATGATTTTTCTTTTTAAGTTTGCTCATCAATTTCAACGAATGTAATGGAGTATGTATGTATGGCATATATTGCAGGTGATACATTTTTTTCTTTATTTTTCCATAAAAGAAGTTGTTCAGTGTCACTTTTTTCCTAAGCAAAGAAAAAATAAATAAATAAAAGAAGAAGAAGCCATTTATACAATTTAATTTTATGATTCAATGTAATTACCAATCTGAAAAAAAATTACGAAAAAAGTTTGGTCCAACTTGTTAGAAAGATGGAAGATGTTAATAGAACTGTCAAATTTTCGTGTCAAACTAGTAGATAAAAAATAGCATTTGTATTTTTGTTGGTTCTTGCATTTCTTATAAGTTATATCTCATTTAAGAAGGGTCATAGTACAGTAATACTCTTTTTGTTTCGAGAGAGTTTCAAGTCCTCCTCAATCTTTGTATGCTCTGTGGATAAGTAACTAATCACAATCGTCAGAGGCTTCTGCTAGGGTTGTTTGGTTCAAATATTTTCATGGCCTTCTATATGGCCTTACGGAGCTCTTAATTCTAATTCTAGATGTGCAGGAAGGAGCTTAAATTCGAGTATATTTAGAGTTTGCACATGCCAAAATTTGTAAATAAAAAAATAGTAGTGCATAGTTATTGAAGGTGCTTTAAGTCTGACAAATAAAACTTGAACATGTGACCTGCATTCGATGAAACTGTGCTAGATTTAATACAGAAATCCAAATATATTTCTTGCAAAGCAGAATGTATTTTTGGGTATCTGACTCAATTTATCTGAAGCTGGTTTGATCATGAATTTTCTGTTCGGGTTTGAACCAGGCAAACTAGTTCTCTAAATATTGGCAATAATTTCTTGATTTTCTTGTGATTTTTTATTCTAAACCATAGTAGCAACTTTACGCAAACTGTTCACTTTTCAATTATCATATCAGACTGCAGAGGTTTCTCGTTATAGTTTTAAGTTGTTACTCTGCAAGTGGATTGCCAACTCTGAAAATCATGTTTGCCTCATAAATCAAGTTTCTATGTTGTTCAGGATTGGGAATTTTTTTGAAAAAGTTGGTTTTTGAATAATCAAGTTCATTTTCTTTTTCATTGGTAAAGATTACCTTTCTGTATATCTTTGTCAAGATTTTTGAGAGAACATTCGAGTTATCTGGCATATCTGGAGAAGCTCTAAAGATGGTGGTTCTATTGGTCATCACTGTTACGGTTCTTGTGGATTCGGTTTCTAGTTTCCTTATTTAGATAATAGACAGGAGTTAAAAAAATATGCTTTTCTTTCTTTCTTTTATGCGTTATGTTTTATTGTTTTTTAATTTTCTTTCCCTCTTTCTTAAGTGGAGCTGTGGTGGTAAATCAGGGGTTTAAGGATTCTTTTTTCTTTTTTTCTTTTTCCTTCAACATGTGGGCTTATATTAGAAGGACAATATTTTAGTGGTTGAAAATGAGGTATCCTTGTTCCAAACTATTTGTGGTAAGCTGGTAGTAGCACAATCATGCTTCACAATATCCTGTGTTACAGACTGCCCAGTCACCAAATATGGCTGAATAAGTATTATAACAAAAACTATGATCAGTTATAATTGGAAAAGTTTCTGTGAGCCTATATTGTGGCTATATATATGGAGCAAAAATAATATCCATTTATTCCATTCACTTTGTTGGTGACATTGGCATTCATACTTCTTTAAGAAGCTAGAGCTTAAATCTGTTGAAGTTGGATACATTTCTCATAAATCATTGAAATATTGTGGGCTTCAATTTCGATTTTTGTTATATCCTCATTGAAGTTATCTCTGTTTGATAGATAAAGATAATGCTCCAAAGACTATAAATGATGTGAAGCTTATTAATGCGGGAAAGATACTGGAAAACAACAAGACACTGGCCGAGTCCAGACTCCCAATTGGGGAACTTCCAGGAGCAGTCATCACTATGCATGTTGTCGTGCGTCCTCCTTTTTCAGACAAAAACAATGGTAATTCCACAGACCAAATTATATTATGCATTTGTGTTTGATGATGAATGGACACATTTATGAATCGTCATAGAGGTACAGATGTTCCAACCTAAATACAACATATGATATGCTTGCTTAACATAGTTGACAATGCTAATCACAATAAAAATTGCTTCATTAATTTGTGTTCTTGAACTCCACAATGTTTGCTAGTTCTTTCAAGATTGTGTGGCTTGGGAGTACTTTACTCCATTTTTGTACTTCCTCTGATCTTTTCTATGTTTTCATTTTGTGTCCACAAAACCTCATTGACGCACTCAGTGTTATTAAAGGCGCGCCTAGGTGTGCGCCTAGGCCCAAGTCCCATTCAGGCCCAAGGTTTGCACCTTGTAGTATTCCAGGCCAGGCGACTTCGATAAGGCACACCTAGGCATGCGCCTAGGCCCAAGTCTCGTCCAGGCCCAAAGTTTGTACCTTGTAGTATTTCAGGTCAGACGACTATGGGAAGGCGCCTAATTGGCCCAAGGGTTGCGTCTTGAGAGCTTTTTTTATTGTTGCTTTAAGTGGTTTTGTTTAAAATTTGACCATTGATTTAATATGGTGCAGTTACAGAAGATCTCTACTCTTATTACAGATACCAATACATTGGGCATTCAACCCCAAATCAATGATAGAAGAAAAATTAGCCCTTCCTAATGTCCAAAAAACACTAAATGTTTAACATTTCATTTTGTTTATGAACCGTAAATTATTTACTTCTATTATATATTTTTTCCTGTACAAGGTGCGCCTCACTTCGGTGAAGCCTACGCCTCGCCTTGCGCCTTGAGCCTTGAGCCCAGGCCCCAGGAGACCTTGGCACCTTGGTGCGCCTATCGCCTTTAATAACATTGGATGCGCTTCTTAGAATTGTTTTCATCAGTCACCGCATACCAGCATCGGCCTTTTTGGTTGAGCCTCCTTTATTTTGATTATACCTACATGGCATCGTCTCTAGCATTTGCCCAAAACCTTCCTTCACTCTGATGACAGTTTTACTGAATTTGTGGGCATGTTATTTTTATGTTTTGCATCTTCTATCCAATGCTGATGTTCTTATCATTGCATTATGTTTCTTCTGATATTTCACACACTTCTCATGAATACATAGAAAAATCAAGTAATTACAGATCAAAACCCAAATATTGATGCTTGACACGTTTGTCACAGAAAAACTGCAGGGCGATTTCCCAAAGAAGAACAGGTGCTTTTGTACCATCCTGTAATGCCAAGATCGACAGTGATTCGTTGGTTGGTTTCTATATCTCTCCATACGTGTGTGTCAGATGGTTGCTCAGTTTTGTTTCAAAAACTCCCCAGATTTCAGGTATTCTTGGCTTCAACTGGCTGCAGAAACAAGAACCTTGGAGGTGTTTTGTTTGACTGTTATTTGTTGCTTTGATGTTGTGGTTTCTCACAGTAAATGTCTTGTAGTACAAGTGAGTTTAAATACCTAAAATCCCCTTAAAAAAAAAAAAAAAGGAAGTTTGAATGGGGAGAGAAGGAATTAGATGCAATGCTTGAAGAGAAGCTTTGTAGATCAAGAAACTTTTCTCGGTGTCCAGTCAAGAAGGAAAAAAAGGGACAAACAAAAAAAACTATTACAGAAGAAATTCGTAATTTGGTTTAATTTGGGTTTTATTGTTGGCATAAAACTTCTCAAATGAGTATAGTGCAGAATTCATCTCATGACATGTAAAATGTAACCAGACAGTCGTTACTGTCTTTGTCACAAATTTATTCCCTTCATTAGAATTTTGCTTACTCGGGTTCTTAAAAAAAGACATCGGTAGCTTTTATATGATATTTCCTGCTTTTGACATTCCAACAAAAAGGGAAACAAATGAATTAATGAGTTTAATGAAATTGGAAAATAATTGTCTTTCCATTTTTTCCGCTTTTTAGGTGGATTTATGTACATAACAAAACCTGCAATGTGTACATTAAGTGCCTGCAAAAATTGAGTCTAACCTCATGGAGACAATATATATATGATTATATGGTCAGCTCTAACATGGACAATGATTTTAGCAGGGTCTTCTCTCCCTCATACATGGCCACTCAGTAGAGATTTAAACCAGTTTGTTCCATATCTCATAACCTAAAACAATTTACTTGAACTTATCACCAGAGTCATGAAGCAAATTCGAAGTTCAACAACTAAAATTCCACCATAAAGGAATTGAAGAAAGGAGGAAAGACATTTCTAATGCTTCAATAAAGAATATAATTTTCTGTACAGAGACAAAGAAGAAGAAAAATACAAAAATAAATAGAGATGGGAGAGAAGGTTTGTCCAAATATTACAGACATCTACACTACACCTTGTATTTTTAAGCTGTTGGACATTTATTATTTACAAGGAAACTGTCTTAGCTTCTGACATGGCTCAAGCTAGTTTTAAGTCATCCTTGAAATTGCCAGATGTCAGTAGCCCATTGGAACCTGCTGTCAATGCATAACATCTGATGTGGGTGAACTGTGACTTCTTGGACTTTTTGATCAAGGAATCAGGAGATAACATGCTCTCAGTCTACGAGGGATGGTCCCCAAGAGTATCTGATGAAAAGCGATTCAACTGTGTAAACTTCCTGGATGTACGGACATTCTTGAGTGTCATCATAAGTTTCTGTCTCTCTCCTTCAACCTCGGCAAACTGGAGACTCAGTTGAGAGTAACGGCCGTGCATGTCTTTCAGCTCACTCTCCACAGCCACATACCTTCCCTTGAGTTCCAACATCTCTTTGATCAGCTCATTGATATCTCTAAAGCTTTGGAATATTGCTTGCTCATCACTGTGTTGTTTTATGAATGAACTAGACCGTGGAGGAAAAGGATATGTTAATACATGTGAAACGCAGTGAAAAAATATCAACACCGAGAGAGAGAGAGAGATTTAAGAACATATTATGGTGTGAGCTATTGGTGTATCTTATGCTGTACCAAACTGATTGGCATACATTTGGTCACCCTTTGCTCTGGGGTTACCACCTAGACAGGGTAGACAGAATGGCAGCACGAAATGAAACAAACCTTCAAATCAACCACATGTTCAACATGAGATTGAAAACTAATTGAGATCCAGAAAATATTGATTTGAAATCACGAAATTGTAACTTTTTGTGTGGAACACTACGATCTCTAACACAAACTAACACATTAATATCTTGATTTGCACACATTACTATCTTGATTTTGTTAAATGATGGCATCGGTAATCATATGTACAAGTTAGCAGTATATCGGTAAACTTAAGGCATGACACCTCAAGGCAAAAATGGCACAAGGTCCCAAGTTGTAAAGGGACTCTTGAGGTAGCACCACTAATTTACAAGGTGAAGCAAAGATGACTGATGTTTTGTCTCTTGCATGATAAACCACTAGACCATAAAAATTTGTGGAATATCAAATAAATAGAAAATGGGGAAAACAATAGCAAATCAATAGTGTAGGTAAGAACTGTGCCAATTTTGCACAGTTCTCACTTGCCCCGGACACATCTCACTTGCACTTCATTGATCTGTAATTATTTTTCCAATTTTCCATTTAAATATTGCTCCCAACAAATTAGTATGACACAATTTCAAGGCTATAAAAATTAATGCAAAGCGAAGAAATTGAGGAAGTGGCGAAACATCTGATAACCAAACACAGCGGAACACAGCGCAAAATATATTGAGACTACGAGGCATGTTCCTGTATGATGATGTAACACAATATGCCATTTCAGGTTAAAAGAAAAGGATAACCTACCTCTGGAAAATGATGCTTGATTTCTTCTTTGCCCGCAGTGCTTCAGCAAGCTCAATTTCCAAAGCAAGTACCCTTTCTAATGCATTCCCACTGCCCGATTCATTAAACACAGGGAATATGTTTCTCAACTCTTCATTTACCTTAAAAAGCCCATAAGGCACCCAAAAAAAAAAAAAGAGAGGTGAGAGTCTTGAATAAGGGCACTGGCAAACTGCAAGGTGTTCAAGGATGTAGCTCACTTTACCTTGTGTAACTGCATAAGTTCTGTTTGTAAACCTTGAAAATTTGGGTCAAAATGATGATCATCCAGTGGAGGAAGAAGAGAGTTATCATTTTTCATTCTCTCCAACTGCAATCAGAAGGCAAGGGATTATATTGGGTTTCCATCATATATAAATTCTTTTGTCAAGAGTGAATTCATAACCATTGCGTTCATGCCTTCCACACCAATATATAGTGGGAGACATGATTAACTGCTCTCCTTCCAGAACAAAATGAGTACCTCTTTGTGTAGTTGATCCATGCTAGACTTCAAACTCTGGGCTTTAAAATGATCATGGCTAACAGCTAAATGCTTCGAATCATTGTGCAAGAAGGCCCCTTGCTCTAGAAAGGCATGCTTTGAAATTCCATGCACGCTTTCGCGTATAAGAACATCCTGCCCCTAAATGATTGCACGTATAAATTTGCTTAGAAACCGCAATTCAATGTGCATTCTGAAAAGTCAAAAAATATATAGATGCATAATAAAATAATCAAAACTGATTTTTGGTCAGAAGAAGTCACCTGATGAAGGACAATATCAATAAAATGGTTTTTTTTTTTTTTTGATGTATAAAATCATTTCCATGGCAAAGCAGGGTACACTAGTAACTTTAAATAATAGTAACTACAGTAATATATGCGACGCTCCTCTTCACGCTAGATGAGCATTGTGATCATTTGTAAATATTCCAGAATCCGGTAATAAAATGGCGATTGTAATTAGGATCAAGTGTAGAAAGGTATAAAAGAAAAGTCAAATATAAAGAACTAAAACCTAGATGTAGAGTTTTGGATTGAAAAAATGTAAAACAATAGGTCATAATGCTCATAGGAATGTGTAGTTGAACAATTAATTTGAAGAAAAATAAACTATATAATATATCGGATGTCAAATTAAGAAATCTACCTCTATTGTATCATATTTTAGAGCACATGGCGTACCATGTTCTCATTCCTTATACCAGAACGATCTGCGTTCTAGGTAACATAGTGCTAAAGATACTCTGGTGAAGGTAGAAAGGTAATTTCGAGCAAATGCAAGGCTTGAGGACTTACCATATTATACAATTATAGTAGATCTCTTCTCGTAAGTACCCTATTACCTAATTGCTTGGATGAGAGATAAGAATGTGCAAACAATGTGGAAATGGTGGGTATAAGGGTTTTTTATAAATTTGGGGCATCAACCAAGTAGTGGATCAACAACAAAATATGAAGTATGTATGCAAGCACAATGTTTTTAAACCTTTAACAGAAGCACCCTACCAATCTGCTGTTGGTAAGCTATTGCAAGTATGCAATCATAGTTTTGTAAGTTGTCATCTTGACTTCAACAGAACATCAAAACAGAAAAGTAATTCTCAGAGATATCATTAATGTTTAAATCACCATCTTCCTACATGCACATATTGCAGGCATCAATGGGCCAATAATGGGTTAGCAATGATAATTCAGAGAAATGTATAATACCTGGAAAGGTTGCACATTTGTGGGTATTGCTGAATGTTCACCTTCAACTATTGGAATCGAGCTTGCATCTTCTGCTTCTTCGCGGTTCATTAAATTATGGTGCTCTGAGCACTTGACGAAAGGCCTTCCAGTTGAGCTTGAGTCAATCCCAGCAGTGTCCATAGTTATACTTTCAGAGCTTGAAGTACCTGAAACTGGTTTTTCCTTGTAAGCCTTTCCTAAACCTGTATCACCAGATGCGTTACCCAGTTCATCGAATCCATTACATTCTTCCTTTTGAACATTCATGTTAGATGCAAAACTCTCTAGCTGTCCCTTGGTCAGGATAAGTTCAGTAGCAATTCTATTATTCTCCTCACTGCACTCTTGCAAAGAAGCTTCAAGCCTCTGTTTTTCTTCCTTGCAGCATTCAAGGCTTAATAGTGCACATTCCAATTCAGCATTTATACGGTCATACGCCTTGAATTTTTCACGTTTTTCAGTAACTACGGACTGCAATTCAGCCTCCAGTTCCAAGATCTTCACTGACAAGTCTTCATTTCTCTTCAAGTGAGAAGCTTCAGATTTCTTCCTATTCTCAAGTTCATCAACAGCATCTTGTAATTTCCAAAGCATCTCCTCTCCATGCTTTTTGGAAATAGAAAGCTGGTGCCTCAACTCTTGGATCTTGGTTTCATACTGTTCCTTAAGAAAGGCAATTCTCAGTGAGTCTTGCATAGCAACGGATGGTCCTTCAGGTTCTCTTTTTGCACGAGCCTGGAGACATTCAGCTTCAGCCTTGTCTTTAAGATCCTTAAAATGGATGGACAGGTTCTTGAACTCTTCTGTCTTCAGAATCTGTTTGGACATCCTGTGCTTAAGTTCATTACACTGGTTCTGCAGTGTCATCAGTTCATCATTATAATCTTGAAGTGAGGTAGTATAAGTACGCAGTTCATCCAATTTGGCTTTGAGAACTGTCACTGTTGTATCCAATTCTTCCTTGGAGGACAACAAGTTATCAATCTCTTCTTCAGAAAGTACCAGTATTTGCTTCAGCTGTTTTACCTCCAGACTATGCTCATTTTTATCCCTGGAAAAATCAACCTCCGATGATGCCACCCTCTTCTTGTATTCCTCCAGTTGAACCATCATAATGCCGTTTAAATCTGAAAGGGCTTCATGTTGAGCAACAGAGGCTTTCAACTCCGATCTCAGGGACTCGACAGTTGTCGCCAAGTTCACATTTTCTTCAATGCAATGTGCTTCACCAGCAAGAGACCGATTCAGCATTTCCTCTACATCAAAAAGCTTCTTGCTAAGATCCCCAATATGCCCCTCTGAGGATTGAAGTTTCAGGGAAAGCTCCTCAATTCGGGTCTCATACTGAATCCTAGTGAAGATGACGTTAACATCTGCAGCAATTATATATCCACGCATTTCTGATAACTGACTTTCCAGATCAGTAAGATGAGAAGATTCTTCACAAAGCTTTTCTAAACATTCCTCATGCTGCAGCAAAATATGGCAGACTCTAGATTTTTCTAGTTCTAGATCTGATGCCAGTTGCCTGAAATGTACCAGTTCAGCATCCTGCTGGGAGAATCGAAGCAAGTGGTCATGTTTCTCGTTCAATTGGGAAGTTAGATCTTTAATAGTATCCTCTAGGTTATCTCTGATGCTTCTCTCAAGATGAAACTCATCATGCAGAGATCTCAAATTTTCTTTCAAACTGTCAAGCTCTGATGCCAGCTTGACAGATTCCTCAGTTTTACCCTGTAAAGACATCATCAGATCTTGTCTTTCCTGTGTTAACTCAGCAATGGTCAACTTACTTCTCTCAAGTTCCTCAGTTACAGTGTCCAAGCCCAAAATCTCTTTAGCAAGGTCCATATTCTTAGAAGTAAGTTGTTGCAGCTCAACTTCCAAAAGTGCTAGATCATCCAAAAGCTCTTTGCTCCGGTGTGCATAGTTTTCTTCAGCTTCAGAGCTAACATGGAGTTTATTAGCTAGAGTCTCAAGCTCCAACTGAAGTTTCTCCACAAGGGCATTGGATGCTTCTAGTTTAGTACCCATATTCTGTATGTCATGCCCGAACTTCTGCTTAGTGACCAGCATTTCTGTGCTGGCAGTGCTCGAGGACACTTGAGCAAGGTCTCTTTCACCCTCTAGGTTTTTCTTCTCTTCCAAAAGTTGAAGAATCCTTTCACATGCACTATGTTGGATCTCTTCCAATTGCGAGATGACAACCTCAAAATCCATCGGCCCCAAGTTCTGACACACAGAATTTGTTGTGGGAAACAATCCGTTGAATTGCTTGTTGTAAGATGCCAGCACACACCCCAATTTGTCTTCCAGAAAGTAGACAATTTTCTGCAGATATTCCTTAGAATAAGACAACTCACTGTGTTCAGCTATGACAGTTTTTAACTCTTCTTTCAAAGAGGATATCTCATTTTCAAGGTATTCCTTGTTCAGAGTTTCCTGCTTTAACAAATTTTCCAGATCTGTTTTCTCAGTAGAGCAAGCCTCATATTTGCTTCCATAACCGCTGCATTCAGCTTTGACACTTCCCAACTCTTCTTTCAAAAAGGATATCTCATTTTGAAGGTTCCCCTTGTCCAGAGTTTCCTGCGTTAACAAAGTTGCCAGCTCTGTTTTCTCAGCAAAGCAAGCCTCATATCTGCTTTCATAACCTCTGCATTCAGTTTTGACAGTTTTCAACTCTTCTTTCAAAGAGGAAATCTCATTTTGAAGGTTTACCCTGTTCAGAGTTTCCTGCTTTAACAAATTTGCCAGATCTGTTTTCTCAGTAGAGCAAGCCTCATATTTGCTTTCATAACCGCTGCATTCAGCTTTGACAGTTTCCAACTCTTCTTTCAAACAGGTTATCTCATTTTGAAGGCTCCCCTTGTCTAGAGTTTCCTGCTTTAACAAAGTTGCCAGCTCTGTTGTCTCCGTAAAGCAAGTATCATATTTGCTTTCATAACCGCTGCATTCAGCTTTGACAGTTTCCAACTCTTCTTTCAAAGAGGTCATCTCATTTTGAAGGTTCCCCTTGTCTAGGGTTTCCTGCTTTAACAAATTTGCCAGATCTTTTTTCTCAGTAAAGCAAGCCTCATATTTGCTTTCATAACCTCTGCATTCCCTCACCAACGCTTCCAATTCTGTAATCTTTTGAGTAAAGAGACAATTTTCATTGGAAAGTCTTTCTAACTTCGCTTCTAAAATTTGATTCTGCAGATCCATATCATGGCACTTGGCGATGCAACTAGCTTTGTATTCATTCAGGGTCTGTACCTCATGCATAGCAGTTTGCAGCTGTAGTGTTAACAACTTCTTGGATTCGGTTGAAAGGTCCAACTGCTGTGCAAATTCATCAATTTTCTTTTTCATAAGTATAACGCCAGCACTTGCTTCAAGCAAAGTTTCTTGTAGAATCTTTGAGAAAACATCCAAGTGCACGTTTACCACATGCATTTCTGAGAGTTCTTCTTCAACCTTCTGGTAAAGCCCTTCCTGCAAGAGGAGAGATTTTTTCATGTCCTCCAAAAGAATATCTCCACCCAAGAGGAGAGATTTGTTTACCCCTGCATTTTGATTCTGGTACTGCAAAAGTTTAGTGGCATGAAATTCTTCTACACTCCGCACTGCCTCTGGCTGCCCTTCGAAGCACAGTTGTGAAGTTTCTGAAAAAGTTTGTTTGATAAGGTTCTCATTAGTCTCAAACATAGATACAACTTGGAAAGAAAGCAAGTCAAGGTCCTTTTGTAAGTGATCTACTGCAATTGAGTAATTCATGCGAGCCCTCCTCAGAGCTGCTTCCGAAGTAGTAGCCCTCTTTTCAAGATCCTTGTTAATGGAATCCAAGTCACGTCTCTCTTGAGTAAATCTTAAGATCTGCTCATTCATATCTTGGCGCAATGATTCCATCTCAGCACTTGTGGTAGCAATAGTGTAAAGGCAAGTAGAGTGCTCATTCCGGAGATTCTGCAACTCTCCTAGCATTTGCTTATGATTTTCCTCAAGCTCCTGAACAAGAGCCTCATAGTAGCACTCCATCTGGTCCATTTTTCTTGCAAAGCTTTCTCGTTCAGCTTTGGCTTCATCCAACTCCCTTAGAAGTTCAAAGATTTTGTCTTCTATTGCTTTGGTAGCACCTATAGAATCAGCTTCTTGAGACACAATGCTGGGGATGCTTAAGCAATTCAGCATATCTGATGGCTGATACAAGTCCACATCTAAACCATTTCCCAATGCAAATTGTTCATTTTCATGTGAACTCATTTTTCTGATCTCCTTTACATTTGTGATTTTTGATGGTAAATCTAGCGGAGGAATTGCTTCCCCAGTTTCAAGTTTGAGTTCATGAAGAAAAATAAGCAATTCCCCCAGGTCTGAGTGAAGGAACCTCAAGTCTCTATCATTGAAGCTGAGGTATACCTTGTTTTGAAGGTCTCTTATCTTATCCTCCATGACCAAAAGCCCCTTTAGCCAACTAAACTGATTACCTTGAAATAAATGCTCCTGGTTGCTGTTGTTACTGGTTTCCCTGCTTGCATATTGAGGACTTAATTTCAGACTTTTAAGCTGTTCAAGATCACCTTTTAACTTTAAACACTCTGACTGCATGACAGAAATCTCTTTTGCCAGTTCTTCTCCTGCAGAAATCTCAGCAGCAAGTTGCTGAGAAAACTTTTGTGTTTCAATGCCTATTTCATCTGCATGGCTTTGTAAAGAGCTTACCTCCAGCTTAAGCTCATGAACAGAAGACTCAGCCACTTCCAAACTACCCCTAAGCCTACCATTCTCCTCATAAACAATTGCCAAGTCATTATCCATGGAATAGTCTGAACTCCAGCCATGAACCCAATCACTGCTTCCCTGATGCAAAATTCGATGATCAGATGTATCCCCTTTCTCTTCGCGAGGGCTTTGGGAAAGTCCATTTAGATCACCAGACACTGTACTTTTCAGGCTATCAATCTCATGTGTGCTAGAGGTATCATGCTTTTCAGCATATAAACTTTCTGAAGTATTGGATGACCCATCAAATCCCACAGCTGAGTCTGTGTTTTCTTCACTTAACCCCGCCTCTTCTTCAAGTGATGGAAGCTCTTTAGATTCTGGTTTGAATCTAACTCTTGCATTGACCTATATTCAGAGGGGAGGAGGATAAAAAAAAGATCATGATCAGAACCAGACAGATGTTTGGTCAACTATATAAAGAGAACCGAAAAACGTTCAAAATTTTTTATTACTTTCTTTCTTATATAAAAAAATATATATCTTGACAATACAACATTTTTGAACTCAAGACATGGATTATCAATACTAATGAAACTGCAATAAGAAAAGGCAATAACAGCATGTTTGTTTCAGCAGAGACTTGAAGGCAATAGGTCAATTCTTTACAATTTCTGTTCAAATCACCCATATTGGGTGTGATTAAGACAGACCTTGAAATGAAAGGTCAGTTTCTAGGACCCAAGGCCCTGTGGTGTTGTGGATTTTGTCAAATTGCACTCACACAAAAAGATGTGGCTGTCCAAGCATTTTATATGTTCTTGGCAAAAAAACAACACACGCTATCCATCCATATGCGCATACAGTGCCTGTTTGGTGCAGCTTAAGAGCTGCTTATTTCAGCTTTCAGCTTAATTTAAGCTATTTTGATGTATTTGGTTTAGCTTAACAATGCAGCTTATAGCTTTTTGTAAGTTAGAAATCAGCTTATTCTTTGAGTGAGGCAGGAGATGCTTAATTTATAAGTCAGAAATCAGCTTATGTTCATAGTTATAAGCTATAAGCTATTAAGGCATAAGCTATAAGCACTTTTCCACAGCTCTACCAAACAGGGCCACAACAAGAGAATGATCACATGCACATTTGGCACATTCATGGCAAGGTATCTGACCACACTTCACAGGGCTCATGAGGGGTTGTGTCCATGATATAAATACTTACATAACACCCACTCTAAAGGCTTAAACTGTAAAAGAAGTTAATGGCTAATATCAAAATGCTATGAATATGCTTCTGTTTTGCAAATTTGAAATCAACAATTACAATTTGGATGCTAGAAAGAGAGGCTTTTGCCTTCATCAATAAGAGAACACTAGGCCTATAATTAACATCAGATAACTAATTTCAATTTGGTTTTGAAGTAAATTCTTTATGATGCTTCATGTGTCCTATTTTTTATTTCAGTAATCAACACGGTGAAAGCCACTTGCATAATCAAGATTCACCATCATTGTCCAATCCCCTTTTTTTTTTAAAAAAAAAATTCAAAGGGAAACATACCCAAACAAGCTATTGCTTCACAATCGCAATACATGGACTTCAAGTTCATTTAATAACCATTACGAAATGTCAAGAAAATAAGACACAAGGAACATTTATGTAAATATACAGACAAAACAAATGATCAACCTTATCAATCTGATCATTAGAAATCTCTCCTGAAGACGATACTTTTCTGGTACCAGATCCATCATGCCTATTTAGCTCGGTGCCTGTCTGCAGCCCCTTCTCTCTCTGCTGCTCGAATTCTCTGTAAGCATATAGACCTTGTTTTCAATTTGTCAATAATAAAAGCATGTACTTTGACTCCTATGAGTAATGATGCAATACCTGAATCCAGTTTTAGAAGTTAGCAGCTGGACTGTGACCTGGCAACAAAAAGCATAAGCAGCTACAACATTATACGGGAATCATGAAAAAGAATTCTCAAGTAATAACAAAAAGGGTTGAACCTAGACAAGAATATGAAATGGTAGGGCTAGGCAAAAATCAAACAAGCAAACTTGTGAAAAATAGGTTGAAAAAGCTAGATGCAAGCCAACAAAGTTTATATAAGTCTATTTTATCACATAAATAGGATGTGGCTGAGTCTTTCTTTGTTAACTTCTCCAATCACCAGATCTCAAGATATGGAGATCAATAAAAATGTTTATAGAACACATGCAAGAAAACATAGGTTCCTCTCTTTATGCCCACGGGGGTATATGCGCAGCAGGGCCAGCACTAGGCATGTGGAAGGAGGTAGCTATAAGAAGCTTATAAGACATATAGAGTTCAAAGTGTCTCACATGTAAAATAGTTCCACAATTACATCCATGAAGAGGCAGATCAATGATAGAAGGCTTCAGTGCATCAGCATAATCAGCAAGATTGATGCTAGCTTCACCAAGGATACTAGACCTAGAAGAACCCTGACATCAATAAATTCAGGACAAAGATGAAGTTAATATCACTTAAAAGAGATATTGGGTGTAATGATCCATTTTGATCATGACAAGGGACTAGGAAAATATGTGGAAATAAGGGCATCAATATATCATGTACAGACATTAGCAATACAGAACAAGACATAAAAGGGTCAGAATTGAAACGAAGAATTAGTGAAGAAACCTACCATGGCCACGACAAATTTGTATAGCTTTTCATCACACTGTTTGCTTTTGGAGTCCTGAAGAAGTCTAGTAGTTTCATAAATAGGATCTCCCCATTTGCATGCCCCATTTCTCACATTAGCTTTGGTTGTCTTTGCTGTTGCCTTTCCAGAATCGGCAGGAACAAAAGATATAAATAGCTTATCCCACCCAGCTTGTGGAACCTGAAATAATAAAAACAGGAAGGAAAAAAAAAGGACACATTTAGTCTTTGCACAATTTAAATAACATTATGCATTTGTTAAACATTCTATTCTGATTTTTCTAATAAGAAATAAAATAGAACTTCTACTCCAATTTCATATAATGTATGGAGTTTGCCAAGTGCTGCAACAGCCTAAGAATCATAGCCAGTCCAGATAAAGTAACATGATGTTAGAATTTACTTTGCACAATTTAAATAACATTATGTATTTGTTAAACATTCTATTCTGATTTTTCTAATAAGAAATAAAATAGAACTTCTACTCCAATTTCATATAATGTATGGAGTTTGCCAAGTGCTGCAACAGCCTAAGAATCATAGCCAGTCCATACATAAATTATTACACATGATTTAATCTTACAGTTTTTATTTTCCTAACAGTCAATGAAACATTTTATATGGTAGGTTTTTTTTTTTTTTTTTGATTGATATGGTAGGGTTAATGTGTATTTTTCTTGATTATATCAGATTTTTGCCTTGATTTAAATTAGGATTTTCTTTTTGTTCAATTGTCAAATAGATTTGTTGAATCTATTTCTCAGATTTGCATTAAGACTAGTAAACAACCAAGAGAAAACACGTCTTCATCCCTTTTTACACAATAAATTTTTTAATAATCTTACACAATTATTCTGCAATATATACAGTATCCAAACTTACATATAGTCATTGTGGGTGTTCAGATAAACTATACATTTAATTCTAGCTTCTTGTAAATGGGATAATTTACAGCCTCATTACTAGTGTAGTAGCATGAACCATGGAGGCTGAAATGCTGTTACATTGAAAAAACAATATGTATTCAGAAAGTTCTTTTCCATTGCTCATTAATTATAAATTTTTCTTATGTTTCCTTGGCTTTATTTCCTAAAGCTTTCATTTTTTTGTACTAACACATTGTCCCCATGCTGGACTATTAAAAACCACACAAAATTACTGCCACATGGACACTTGACTCCCATGCCATTTACCAGGCCAACTGGGTTTCACTGATGACTACTAGTGGGCACTCGTATACTAAGGTAACAGGTCCAGCACATACACACCTCAATATTACCTTAATACCAAGCTAAGTCTAAAATCTGCAGTTCACCCGGACAACTGGGCAAAACAGAGTTTAAAGTTCAGACACTTAATATTGAACAAAGACTGTACCGATAAGCCCTGATCTTTATCATTAAAACTTACGTGAGTCTGTCTACTACATACTTTCCATTTTCAAGTAGCTGCGGATGTAGGCACCATTGGAGACACAGGATGTTAAGTTATATAAAATACAGAGAGCTTAGTTGTTGAAAATTTTGTCAACTTATATAATTGCACAATTGAACTTTACAATAACATAGATTCTCATAGAGCCTTCCAGATGATTCCAGAAAGGACATTCTGTGTAATGTGAAATCAACAAGGAAACTAATAAGGAGCCATTAAGAGATCCATACACAAAGGGAGAAAAAACTATACTCGTGAGAATGGCACCAACCATGGGTAACACAATTTAAAATCCTAAAGAGCAAACATACATGTGTAGCATGAAACTGCAGCCGAAAGACCACTTTTACTTTTGTCTTTTCAAGCTTCCACTTTGCAACCCTCGACATTGCTGCACATTCAGTCTACCATCACCTTCAAATCCTCAGGTTTCCACCCCCAGTCATTCAGAATCCATCTGAAAACCCCTGTACCATTTCTACAATTAATTACCAATTATTTTGTCAACAACACAGAAACTTTATAAAAGAGATGCCATCTGTAAGATGAGAAATGACAAGCTACGGAAACAAAGAACAGTTTCTGTAAACATCATAGCTCAGAAATATTTGAAAATTCACCTTATTGAAGTGAGCCACAAACCCAAGTGAACTTTGAAATGGATCTAAACATTCCTAGGGCTGGCAACTTAAGCACATCATGATAGCAGACTGAGAATTTCTTCAAAAGTAAATATGGAAAAACAATAATGATAAGAACAAACTAGGAATAAGCTGGTTCAAGGTAGAAGAAACAATGCCACATTTTCAAATTCAAATGCAAAATCACAAACAAAGAAATGCAAAAACTAGCATCTGACAGAATAGCATCACATAGCAGAGATCAATCTTAACCAGCTCAAAGAAAGTGAACACACCCACAAATTTCTAACACAAAACAACTCAGATCTTTGATTAATCCCTAAAAATAATTAAAAACTAAAATTAATCCCTAAACCCCAGCAAATACCTTTATTCAAACTCCCAAAAAATGGCTAGCATCAGACAAATCCCCTTTGATCCAAACCCTAAACTAACAAGCAAAACCCAGAAACAACTCCAAAAATTTGCCACTTTCCAACTACAAAAACAGCATCATCAAACCCAAAAACATTTCACCAAATACCTCAAAACCCAAACGAAAACAGACCCAAAAGCCTCTTTGCGCAAAAACGAAAATGCGAATCCGAAATCAAGTTTTTTCTTTTCTTTTTGGACGAAATGTAGCCCCCCAAAGTAGAATACTGAGAAAGCTAAAAACCAAAAACAGAGAGAGAGAGTACAGTGTTTTCTTTTTTTGTTCAGTTTTCACAAACGTCAAAAAGAAGTTCCCAAATAAATTTACCAAGCTTCCACTGCAGAAAAACGCCTTGACGTCACAGACCCATCAAAGAAATCAGTAAAACTATCAATGTTCAAACATCACATTCAAACCATTATTTATTTATATATATATATGAAGTGTGAAGCTGTCAGGTACCTAATTCCGGATCTGGGGGAGCTTGAAATTGAAGAAAAAATGGGGGGTCTTTGAGGAGAAGCTTCGTAGAGAGAGTGAGAGTTGCGTAAGAATGCAGTGAAATTAGGGTTTTCGCCATTAAAATTGTTGAGATTTTACAGTTAGCGTGAAAAAATTGAGATTGTTAGGGGTTAGGTAATAATAATTAAAGTACACATCCCGCCAAAGCGTGTAATTGTTGTTAATTTATTAATTAATTTTAGGTTAATGTTGATTTGAATTTACTGAAATGCCCCTGGATCAGCACTGATTTGAGATCTTGACCATTTGGGATTGATTGGGTTTTGATGAAGACATGTTCTCAGTTGATTTTGACTTTCAAGAGAATTTTGTCTGTACAATCATCCAAATGACAAGTATGTCCTTATTGAGAGAAGTTATTGATTGGTTTGGACACTCTTACGTAGGAAAATGAGTGAGAGCACTAATTAGTGCTACTACTAATGATGTGACAGTGGGTTTTATCATGAATGATTTGATATTTTGGCCTTGGTATTATATTTTTTTCTTTTTTTATTAAGTGTCATGTCATTAGTGATCTTTTTAGAGTTCCAAAATTAGTGGTAGATCATTGTTGCTCTTACGTAATATCTTAATAGTATTATTCACTTTGCTTTATTTGAGTTTTTTAAAAATATTTTTTAAAAAATTTTACTTTTTTATTTTTTGAGTTTTTTTTTCGTTTTTACTGAATTTTTTTAATATTTTAAACAATTTTTTCGTTTTTACTGAATTTTTTTAATATTTTAAACAATTTTTTTAATTTTTAGATATACTTAACATAAATATATCTTAAAAATAAAAAAAATACGAAAAAAATCTTTTAAAAATTCACTAAATACCAAAAATATACAAAAAAAAAATGATAATTCAGTATATTTTTAATATTTTTATGTATTTATTAATTTTTCAAAATATTCTCTCACAAATTTTTTATTTTTTAGATACATCTAAGTAAGGTATATCTAAAAAAGTAAAAAAAAATGTTTAAAATGTTATAAATATTCACTAAAAACAAAAAAAAATACAAAAATCAAAAAACTCAGGAGTTGTTTGGGATGACCTAAATAAGTACACTTTTTGTCTTTTTACAAAAAGATGTGCAGAAAAGTAGAGAGGGGATGTGATGGAAAAAAGATAGATTATTTTTGGATTGCCAAATTTGGCCTAGTTATCAAAAAATTTAGGAGTAGTTTGGAATGTTCTAAATAAGTGTTTATGAAATATAAGTTGAATATGGGTTGGATATGAAGTGATGTGGTAGACTTAAATAAGATGATGTGACTTAAATAGGATAGTGACTTTTTGACTTTTTTAATATATACCAAACAAGATCTTAATCTAAAAAACTCAAACCAAACACACTAATTAATATTATAATTAATAAAAAGAAATAAAATTTATAAATTTATATTAAATTGTTAAAAATATAATAAATTATGATTAATATAAGATAGGCTCACATTCCGCTCCCGCACCAACTAATAATTTTTTGTTGCGTGCTTTGTTGTGGGTATCTCTTGAAGGGTAGTCCCGTAAACTAGAGAGTAACAAATCCAATCGTCATTTTCTTGTGACGAGTAAAAACAATTTTTAATACTACAATTTATGGCGTACAAATAATCTTCAAGTTTAATCATTGTTGATGATGATTTATTAATTGGATTTGGGGGAGTGACTTTTTTTTAAAAATAGTCAAAAATGAATAAATTCATGACACTACTCTAATTATTGTCTTGCAAAAAATTAAAAAATTAATTAAAATAATAAATTTTTAAACGGGCTCTGATCTATTTAAGGGGTTGCTTGAGAGTAGAGTATTTTAATAAATTTTTTACTTTATATGAAAATATGTGTAATATGATAAAAGAGTTATGTGATTTAAATAAGAGATGATATAATTTAATTAAAATAAAAAAACAAGAAGAATATTTTTTTAAGTTGTTGCCCAACAACTCGTGTCATTAATATGTATATAATATATGGGCTGTGATTCCTACACCCAGTGGGGCGACCCCCACTGACGACCCCCAGTGAGATGTCGCCTCCACATTGGCCGAAAATAAAATAAAAAATAAAAAAATAACAAATTTTTTTTTTTCACCAATCACATGCGACCCCCAGTACCCCCACTGGGGGTCGGAGGCATTTTCCATAATATATAGACAATGACATAATAGGTACAAGGCCCCTTTCTTAATTTTTTGGGGGAGTAGCTAATTTTTTGGCTACATAGGTTTGTTTGAGGGGTGGGTTAATTTTTTAGTTTTTTATTTTTTTTGGCTATTTTAATTTGGAGTTAAAAAATCTCATTTGAGAAGGGTTTTTTTGACTTTTTGTAAAAGAAATAATGTAATGATTATGAATTTGATATGATAGTATTGAGTTAAAAAACCTATTTTATCTTGTTGTGTCTAAAATAGTCCCAAATTCACCAAACCCATTCTTCCCAAATGAAACCATAAAAAGGCATAAAAAATCAGGATGTCATATCATACATCTCAATTGATTATTTTTTCTCTGATAATTATTTATTCAACTAAACAAATCATTTCAAATATTGACTTTTTTTTACCTTATAAAAAAGTTGAAAAATTATTTTAAAAAACTAAATTACTAAGCGGACACTAATTATAAGAGTCTCAAATTAAGTAGGTGTCTGGCATACACTAAAAAAGTGTATTTTTTTTTACATATATACTCTTATTTGGGTCACATCAATTAACATCCCCTGTCTACTTTTCTATCCACTTTTTCTACTTTACTATATGAGAGGGTAATTTATGTGTAAATTGGGCCGAGCTGGGCAATGAGTCATTCTGTGGACCACAATAAGAAGGGCAGAGGAAAAGGGCCTAGAAGTTAGCCCGGACCAAGAAAGCTCTGCAGTTAGCTCGGTCACCACACTTAGAACGGTAACAGTTAGCTCGGTCATACCATATTGAGCCGAAGTATGTTGAGCTTTCCTCAAAACTTTGCTATTGGTTAGCTCGGTCCAAGCTCGATGTGATTAGTGCGGTCTCAGACAACCCAGTTGAAATATGTCAAACCGAGGTACACGTAGTGAAAGGAAGAACCGAGCTAGTGGGAGCTCGGTCTAGTCTACGGCTTTAGCATGGCCATGTTATCTCGGTCGTATTAGCATCCAACCGTGGTAGAACTATCTCACTTGGTTTAAGCAGTGAGGGGGGTGTTGAAGGATAAGCATCATCTTTCAGGAATGTGATTTCTAGGAGGACTCTACATGGAGGAGTAAAAGTCCTACTTGGATTGTGCCACGCGGAACCTATAAAAGCTCACACCATCACCTATGGAGAGGTAACAACTTTGATTCTCGAATACGCAGAGCTTTTGTCTATTTGTCTATTTTGCTGACTTAGGTATCGGAGAGGTATCCGGCACACACCCACTGGCTAACTCATGTTTGTGTTTTCAGGAAATAAAGCGACGACGTTTGGAGGAGCGCGGACTTGATCAACAGGATTATGCGGGAAGAATATTTCTTGCTCGTACAATTGGCGCCGTTTGTGGAAATCACAGAAAGAACAAAACCTCTTGATCAAAGTTTTCCTCGCTAAATTAGACGCAATGGCGCACAATGAAGATTTGCCGCAGTCCGCCATTGACGGACAAACCCCAGAGGGAGGTGGGAGGCGTGAAGGTTTGCCTTCCATCCCTCTCATGGCAGATTTAGAACCCCAGCGACAGAACCCCTGGAGGGATGTAAGGGGGAGGCGGGGTAACAGCCCCCGTCACTCATCAAGTCCTGATAGACAGAGGCAGAGGATCGACCCTCAAGTTTTGGAGGATCAGGTAAAGGAGCAGGACGAGTTAATAAGGAAGATGGCGTCGGACTTGGAGGCTATGAAACACCAGATCAAAGGAAAGGGGGTGGCGACAGGAGAGGGGCGCAAAAGCAATACGCCTCCTCGCCACTCAGAAGATCGTGGTAGGCATACCACGTCATCGTAAGCAGAGAATAGGAGCCTCAGAACAGGCGACACTCAATCAAGGACTTCCAGGACTCGTTACTCCAGGTCTGAGAGAACAAGATCATTGAGGTCTGACACTGAGGGAAGCACCTATCGGCCCTCACATACACACCAGACATCATCCAGGCAAACGGAGTTGCCTAGATCGTCCGACTTACGGACTGTGCTTGAAGAAAGGGCACGACGGAAGGAGGATGCCAGGGCATGCGACCCGCACAGAGTTTCAGCCCTTCAGCGGTTGGCTCCTTGGACGCATGGAAGCGTCGAGGTAGGAATGCTAATACCGCACCTTGCCTACGAACCAATAGATAAAGCATTAGCAAGGCTACATAGCTCGCCGTTTGTTCCGGTAATTGAGAACGCACCATTACCTTCAGGTTTCATCCAGCCTAAATTTACGACGTATGAGGGGAAGACAGACCCTTACATACACCTAAGCCACTTTCACCAGGTCATGGCAGTATACCGGCGGAACGAGGCTTTGATGTGCATCCTATTCCCATCCAGCCTTGGCGACCTAGGTTTAACCTGGTTCGAAAGGCTACTAGAAGGCAGCATAGCCTCTTGGGCGCAATTAGCGGAGGCGTTCGTGACAAGGTTCAGAACGAACACCAAGATGCTAGTAAAGATCGATCAGCTACTCTCCATTGACATGGGTGACAATAAGACGTTAAGATCCTATAACAGTCGTTATTGGGAGACCTTCAACCAGATAGGAGATTGCCCCACAAATCTCGCCATCGCGCAGTACAAAAGAGGTCTTCCAGTGGGAAACAGGTTGAGGGACTCAATTACCATGACGCCACCCCTC